CCTTAGCCGGTTGAGCTATAGGCGCCGAGCCCCCCTGCATGTTCTTAATAACAAGTTAGGTTGTTGACTCCCATACTGCAAACAACAAGACAGGTATAGAGAAGAGACCTTATGATTCAGTTTTTATTCGTCAACTGATTGCTCTTCTCCACTTTCTTCGTCAGCTTCATCTTCTTCCTTGCAAGAATCTTGGCTGTTGGTATCAGCAAAATAATGTTCTTCCTCATTCTCTCTTTCTTCTGTATTTTCTTCTTCATTAAAGCTAGAGGAAGAAATTTATCAATCTTTCAAAGAGAAAATGAGTTGGTTTAAGGATAAACAAACCTTTTGCAATGTATGCCATTACGTAGCCAGTCTTTTTAAGTACATGAGTTCTGATCTGTTATCAAGAAAACTCTATAATAAAGTGCCAACTGGGAAATTAAATATTCCTGAGAACTAACCTAACTCAAAACTTGAGTGATTGACTCTTTGAACTTTATCTGAAAGCATGTTATTATTTTCATTATTTATGTCAGAAATCTAAATTATTCTGCTTTATAAACAAAATATTCATCCCTATGTAATAACTTTCAATGTGTCAAACATGTTAAAATATCAAGATTTGTTTTATAGCAGTTCACATGTATTCTATTAGATAAAAGACCTTTTTAAAAATAAACACAGAACAGAATTATATGCTTTCTTGCAGGTAAAAATTTTTCAAAGGCAAACCATTCAGATCTTATATATGTTACCTTTCTTTATCTTCAGTGAAACTTTTTGTCTCTTGATTGCTGAGGTACTCAAATACTTTTCCAGTTTGGCCTTTCTCTGAAACAAACTCATCAGATATTCCTAGTGCTTTTAGGGTGTTAGAATAATGCTTTTCTGCTGCCATTCTTGCATTTTTCTATAGGAAAGACAAACCTTTTTAGATGAGAACAAAAGACTTTAAATTTCCATTAAAAATGTTTCCATTTAAATGGGTTAAAAGTGCCAGTGAAAATTAAGCTCAACAATCACAGTTGGTTGAAAATATGCATACCCTATGATCAACAATTACAATCCCAGGAATATATCTAGAGAAATTCCTAAATATGTGACCCAGGAGACACGTACAAGAATGTTCAACATAGTTTTGTTTGTAATAACCCCAAATTGGAAACTACCCAAATATCTATTAATAGTAAGATGGATAAATAAATTGTGGTCTAGTCATACAATTGACTAAAATAAAGCAAAGAAAATGAATGAACTATAGCTATATGCTACAACACGGCTCTCACAAATACTGAGCAAAAGAAGCAAAGCACAAACAAATACACATAGTATGCTCTATTTATATAAAACAGGCAACATTAAACTATAATGTTTTTGGATAGGCACCTAAGCGGTAAACAAGAAAATGTTTATTTCAAAAGCTAGAACAGTGGTACCTCTTAGGGAGAGGTAAAAGATTGCAATCTGTGAGGGGCACACAGGAAGTTTCTGGGGGGCTGGTAATGTTCTATTTGTTAACTTGGGTAGTAGCCAGATGAACATTGCCTATAATTATTCTTTATACTGTACCTAAGTTTTTTATTTGTATTTTTTGGAGACAGAGTCTCACTTTGTTGCCTTGGGTGAGGTGCTGTAGCGTCACAGCTCACAGCAACCTCAAACTCTTGGGCTTAAGTGATTCTCTTGCCTCAGCCTCCCAAGTAGCTGGGACTATAGGTGCCCATCACAACACAACATCCAGCTATTTTTAGAGACAGGGTCTCACTCTGGCTCTGGCTGCTCTTGAACTTGTGAACTCAGGCATCTATCTGCCTCATCTTCTCAGAGTGCTAGGATTATAGGCATGAGTCACCAAGCTGGGCCTTGTACCTAGGTTTGTTTTTTTTTTTTTTT